TAAGCCTGCTCACTGCAGCATTGTTTGTAAGAGAAAACAAACAAACAAACAAAAAACAAAAAAAAAAGAGACAAAACAAAATTGCAGAAGAATGAACATTATTAAAATGTCCATACTATCCAAAGTGATCTACAGATTCAATACAATCCCTATCAAAATTCCAATGACATTTTCCACAGATATAGAAAAAAAATTCTAAAATTTATATGGAACAACAAAATACCATGAATAGCCAAAGCAATCTTTAGAAAAAAACAAAAAACAATAAAAAAATAAAACAGAAAAAACAAAGCTGGAGGCATCACACTATCTGACTTCAGCTACAGTAATCAGAACAGCATAGAACAGACACACAGACTACTGGAACACAATAGAGATCCCAGAAATAAATCTCTACATTTACGATCAATTAAGTTTCAACAAATGTGCCAAGAACACACAATGGGGAAATGACAGTCTTTTCAATAAACGGTGTTGGGACAATTGGATATCCACATGAAAGAATGAAATTAGACCTGTAGGTTACACCATGTACAAAAATCAGCTCAAAATGAATTAGAGACTTAAATGTAAGACCTGAAACTGTAAAACTATTAGAAGAAAACATAGGGGGAAAGCTCTATGACATTGGTCTGGGCAATGATATTTTTAATACGACCCCCAAAACACAGGTAACAAAATAGCAAAAACAGAAAAATAGGAAAATGGGATTACATCAAACTAAAAAACTTCTGCTTAGCAAAGGAAACATCAACAGAGTGAAGAGACAACTTACGGAGTGGGAGATAATATTTGCAAACCACGTATCTGATAAAAGGTTCACAAAATATATAAGGAACTCAAACAACTCAATGGTAAGAAAGCAAATAACCCAAATAAAAAATGGGATCTGAATAGACATTTCTCAAAAAAAGACATTCAAATGGCCAAGAAGTATATGCAAAAATGCTCAACATCACTAATCATCAGAGAAATGCAAATTAAAACCACAATGAGATATCACCTCACACCTATTAGAATGGCTAGTATCAAAGACAAAAGACAACACCTGTTGGTGAGAATTTGCAGAAAATGGAACACTTGCACACTGTTGGTGGAAATGTAAGTTACTACAGCCATTATGGAAAACAGTATGGAGGTTCTCAAAAAACTAAAAATAGAACTACCATATGATCTAGCAATCTCACTACTGGGAATATATTCGAAAGAAATGAAATCAGTATTTTGAAGAGATAGTATATATATCCAAAGGAAATAAAATCATTATGTTGAAGAAATATCTGCATTCCCATGTTCATTGCAGCATTTTTCACAATAACCAAGATATGAAATGAGCCTGTGTCCACCAATGCATAGAATAAAAATGTGATATATGTACTCAACAGAATATTATTCAGCCTCAAGAAAGAAAGAAATCCTGTCATTTGGGACAACATGGATAAGCCTGGAGGACATTAAGTGAAATTAGCCAAGCACCGAAAGATGAATACCACATGATCTCACATGCGGAATGTAAAAATGTTGAATTCGAAGAAGCAGAGCGTAGAACGGTGGTTACTAGGGGCTGGTAATAGTAAATAAAGCACTTTTCTCAAAACAAAACAAACAAAAGAAAACTGGAAACAACTGTTTAGCTACAAGGAACTGTTTGTGTGACCACGGAAAAGAATTTGGTAGCTTTGTATACACTGAAATGGAAAATTGTCCAAGATAAATTGCTTAGGGGAAAAAAGCAAGTTGCACAACAATGCTCAGTACGATTTCATTTATGTTGGGAAAAAACCTAAAACTATTTGTGCGTGTGTAAAAACATCTGGAAAGAAAGTTTATACAATGGCAGCGGTGGCGTAGATTGGTGAGGGGCAACGGCAGTCGTTGATTTCTGTGTGTGCAAAATTCTGCATTGTTAAGAATCCGTTACAGCCCGTATTAGCTTTGTAATGAAACGGAAACAGAAAACTTAATCACTCCCAATTCATCTTAGGTTTTGTGTCTGGAAAACTTTCCGCCCTCTCTGAACCTCACTCTTCTGTCAGAAGGGTTTTCATCATTTAACTTTATGACTCCTGAATGCTCTCCATGAATGGTAGTTATTATTATCCTAGCATTTAAGACGATGTCGGAAGCATGGTTCATAGTCTGCTTGCCCGCCCGACTCTGGCTAGTGTGAGTCCCTTTTGGGGGAATTCAGGAGTCAGGGATGAGAAGTTCCAAAAAGAGACTAGTGGGAGGTGCAGTTTT